GACTTGATTGATTTTTTACGTTTGGTTTCGATCCTAAATGAACAGAATAAAATTCGCTTTTAAAATGAAAGTCAAAATTGAGCATTATGTTAAATCAGCTTAGAATATCTAAATTGAGGATATCTTGAGGATACAGACGAGGATAGCAACTACCGACTTTGAAGTTTGTTCTGTGCTAGATTAAAACCAAAAAAAGAAGTGTGGCTAAAGGTGCTATGGAAAGATACACAGAAGTAATTTAATCCATTTCCCATTTTTAATCGACAAAAAAATTTGCCAATAGATGGCATCAGGTAGTGAGTGAAATTTTTTTTTCAAATTCTTATTAAAATTGCAATTTGTCGTTCGTCTTGTTTGACAAATTTAGATGGAAATATATAAAATTAATGAAACTATTCTAACTATGATTCGCGAGGTGCTTGAAATTTATGGACAATCCGATCGACCAACAAAGTGTATTATTCATAACAAAATAAAAAAAATTCATTTTAAATTTGTTTATGTTAAGAATCCAAATTGGCTAATACGTATTCCTACTGCTAAATATATCGGTGTAAAGAAACCGGTTCAATTATCAATTAGATGTCATTGGTATTGGTTTTATTACGGCTGTATAATAAAAGAACTTCATTAGAGCTTGCATTTCTAGGCTTTTTAAAATCAGTCGATCCAATAAAATCCACTTTCTGACCTTGAAACATATTTAAATCTACAAAAATTAACAGATTAATGTAATTTATGGTGTGGATACGTAATTGAACTTTTTTTCTTTCAAAATTAAAATGAGAAAATCAATCACCGACCAGTGTTTAAAGAGTCGCTGAAATGTCATAACGCAGTTGTTCAAAAGCTTTAAATCTGTTTTCAGAAACGATGAATAGCATTTTATATAATGATTTGAATTTATTTTCATATAAAATACAAGTGACACAATCATTGAAGATAAAATTCAAATCGAAAAATTTTGTCGATTTCATCATCATTAAAATGGAGGAGTAGTTTTGCACATTTCGAGAAACGGCGATTTTGACTGGCTCATCAGATTTGACGCCTCTGGACTTTTATTTGTGGGTTTATTTCAAATCGGTCGTCTATAATAGAAAATGATAAACTCTGGCTGCACTCAAATACAGTATCCAACGTCAAAACCCGAAAACACCGACCAATACACTGAAAAAAATTATGATAAATGCTGAAAAAGAGCATATTTGGTCATTAAGAAAAATGGTGTCCATTTCCAATATATATTTTTTCACAACTGACTAAATAACATTAACAGAAATTAATATATATGAAATTAAATGAAAAAAATGAAGAAAATAAATGGTTTTTGAGTTTTATTTGACAAAAAAAAAATAACTTTCAGCTATTCGTTGAACACGAATAATTATATAAATCGTTAAATATTAATTAATTAATTATATTATTATAATTATAATTAATTATATTATTATAATTATAACTAATTATATTATTATAATTATAATTAATTACATTATGTGTACAATATGTATAATATATTATAACACGTATATAATATAATATATAATAATATATACATTATAAACTATGATTTATAATAGTACTAATCAGAACTACTATTGATTTTTCGTTCATGACTTTCATTAGTTATTAATTATACTATAAGAAATATAACTATTTTTAAGCTTATGCTAATATTAGCTTATTGTGTTAGATATTAAAGTTGAACTAGCTTTTGATGTGTTTTGAGTGCAAACGGTAAAGGACAAGATAATTTGAATTATATCTAAACAAATATATATCCAAATCTGTACCGATCAATATTATGAAAATGCTTTTCTATAAAAGATACATAAATCCTAGATAACAAATGAATATATTACAATATAAATTGATTTTTTTAAGATAATCATGTTCCAAAAACACTGACTTATATACGAACCATATCTAAATCTCAACTGATCTGACAACATTATCTAAATCTCAAATTTTGAAAGTGTGTACATAAAGTGTGCATCATTCACTTACCAACACTCACTAATAGATGTCGTTAGGGTAAAAATTTTTGTGGAAGTAGTCTATTTGAACAGAATGCAAATTTTAATGCGATTTATCCTAAAACTAATCATATTCGTAGTTGAGTTAGGTCTAAATTTATGTAAAAAAGTGATTAAGATTTATTAAAAAAAATATGGATTAAGTTATATACAAGTAATTATTATTAAATAAAAATGTCATAAACTAGTATTCAAAGCGTAAACAAATTATAAAGCTATCTTACGCGGTTTTTTATTTTTCATTAAAGATATATAGCTACAGATGTATATAGCGCTTATTTGATCATCTTTCGTATTAAATTTTACTATGTATTTAACATAGCTAATGGTGTGAAAATTACATAAAATTGTGTTAATTCACTTGAATATACATTTTAAGATCTGTTGGCTTGCTTATTCCTACTGCATTGTATCTAACATAATAAAATTAAACCTATCTGCAATATCATTTTTATTATATGCACTTAAAGTGATGTTAAGAAGAATTATGCAGATTTTATGTTGATTTGTAGTTTAGTTCATTTTTTGTATATAAAAGTATGATTTTTGTAAGTTTCAAGAGTATTTTTTCCTGGGCACAACTATGGTTCGCAAATGGGATGTGAACGCAAAAGATTTCTTGGTTTTAATTACAAAAAAGCCTGGCAAAGTTGGCTGCAGTAAACTTTAGGGAAACCAAGGAAAGGCACACAAAAACAGCGCAAAACCGCATCAAACAACTGCGCTATAAACAAATATGCCATGAAGCGTAAGTAGCAGCGAAAGTGGGACAAATTTTATCTTTTATTAGAAAAAATAAATAATAAAAATAAAAAAAAAATAGAATAAATGACACTTTTTATGTTCGTAGTTCATTTATTCCTTCATTCATTCGCTTGTCAAAAGTTTTGGTTCGCACAAGCGATAATAATTTTTACGATTTGTATGGAATGAACAGAGAAAGTTATGGTGGCCTCGGCTTCAGCTGCGGCTTCAGATATAACTATGAGTGCTACTGTTATTGTTATGGTTGTAGCCTGCCATTTTTGTCGCCATATTAAAAGTTGAAAATTAATGTTGCGCCTTAATAGTCCCTTGCTCTTTCCCATTCTTCTTCGGATATTTCTAAAAGGTTGTGCAAGTCTTTAATGGGTGGCCTCTGTAAATTTGGTAAGTTTTCATGTTTAAATAATGTGCGAAAAAAGTATTAAGGACAGAGAAGATTTCAGATAAATAAGTAAAAGGAAAACAGTCATAAAATTTTGCTTTAAGTATAATTTAATTAAGCAAATTAATTACATGCATAAAAAATAATTGCGTATAAAAGTAAAAGGCTTAAACGCAAAAATGCCAAACTTGCTTGAGCTGTTGAATTACAAAGGAGTTTAATCAAGAGCATAATGTTTATAGTGGTAAAACCAAAATTACATTTTAGATTAATTTCCGGCGAAAGCAATATTTTTGTATACTGCATACCCTTTCATTTTGAATTATGATTTGACTAAGTCACATAAAGCGATACTCACTACGTAAGTACATACAAATACTTTATTATAGTTTTTAGTAGCCGCAATTTGTTTACTATCTACGTTAATTCAGATAACGTTGGTGTTAAGTTATAACGATGATCCTATGAATCCGCTAAAATTTGTTGGATAATTGTTGCCAAATAATGACGTAGGATCTCAAAACTTTGCAAAGCTTAAATAATTCTTAAGAAGCTCTTTAACGATAAGCCGTTCCGTTGACTAAGATTCCATAAAATGTAAACTTCCAGCATGTTGAACTTACGTTTCGCAACAGGTAATATTATTTACTAGAATCTCTTTAGATCCCGATCTAATATTCTCTCTATCTGTTAACTTTTATACATTCTTACTGTATGAATTACAAAGAATTTAAGATAATTACGAAAATTTAATAACTTCAAAGTTGCTCTTTGAGGGAGACGTACTACAGATGACTAAGCTTCCCTAACGAATAAGTTTAATTTACGTTTAATCTCTTTGAAGTCTGATCACATATTTCGATCTGTTGACTTTTATTAATTTTCACAAAGTAAAACGGAATAAAATAAAGTACTTAACACTGAAAAAAAACAAGCAATACTGACATTATTAAGTACACAGCGTGTTAGTTAACTAACAAGTTTGGAAAAATGTAGAATGAGATTAGTGTAAGGTTAGCATTTTCAATACATATCTAAAACGACGTTGTCTCCGAAAAGTCTACTTTAAAATCTTCCATTAAAAATTTTTCAATATCTCATTTATATATATATAAATTTTCTTATTAGTTATAAAATATGTTAGAAAAAAATAGTAGTACGATTGACACATGATATTATACCAATCGCATATGTAAAATCACAGATTATACAGATTATAGAATAACAGAACAAAAAATTTATCTACATCAAAAATCTTTTTTGTAGAACTTAATAACAAAGGGAATACAAAACCAAAAAAATAATTATAGAAGAATAATTAGTAAGGTTAATTTTTTTATATAGCAGTAGTTTCATGAATAACATCAATTAAAATTTTTTGAAATACAAAGTGAAAAATTTCCACTCTTGCGTACTGTCGGTTTTCCTTGGACCGAATGGGTTTCAAAAACTAAAAACATAAAATATGATTAATTTTGTCGCCCAGATTAGCTTAGAAGACTCTCTGCAGTTAAAAAAACAACAACAGATCTCTTACGTCACAATTTATCACTGTTCCTTCTAATAATATCAATCAATCACACTTCATTACAGATATGTTACTTGATCATCAATTATAAATATTTTCACTTATACATAATTATATACCCTTAGATTAGATTAGATTTACATAAGACATTCAATGATATTATCATCGTAATTCAGTAAGATTCAATATTTATCGTTCAAGAACAAATGTTATGATAGTTAAATTCATTTTGTTAACTAAAAATGTCTCCCAACACTCATAAAATATTTAAAATTTTTATACTTACCGAAATGCCAAGAAATTGTGTTGAATTCATAGCTGCATAAATTTCATCTGCGATGTCCTTATCAGTATATGTGAACTCCCGAAGGGATTTTCTACGTTGTTTCAAACGTTCCATCGTTTTATTAAAGGCCAGTGCCACACTCCAAACAGCATCGTAAGCAAGTGGCGCCTCTTGATAACCCTCGGGATAACGATCGTGATTAATGTCATAGCCATCTTCTATTAGGGCGCTATTCAGTCGTTGCCTGGTAAAAATAGAAAAAATGAACAGTAAGTACTTAGAATTAATTAATTATAAATACAAATGCATATACATTTTGAATTAAATAAATGAAGTAAGAATGTACAAACCAAGGAAAAACAAAAAAAAAAAAAAGAAAGTTTAAAATTATAATGTTAAAAAATACGCTAAACTACTGCAGGAACTTAAAATGCTTTATATAATATGCACATTTTTAATGTCTCTGTTTGTTAGTCGTATTCCGCTTGGTGCAATTATTTGTTCAAACAGCAACACGAATGTCTCACTTTGCAACACTAATGTCATCATCAACAATTCTAGCTACCGCTACCAACGATTCTACCATAAGCATTACCAGTGCCACAGTTAAAATCACAGTCGGTTCCAGTTTCACTCACTATTGCACTTCTATCAAAATGCCAACAACGCCAACAACGACAACAACAACACCAACAGCAACAGCAACAGCAACAATAGCAACAACAGTAGGAAGAAATAAATGACATAAGTTTCAACAAAACAAGGACAGCATTGCATTATTGCATTGGTGTGACTTGTGGCACCAGCCAACATTGGCGTCTCAGCAGATTAGCGAGGTACAGAACTCTAATTTTGCAGTCTGTCTGACAGGTAGAGCGAGCGCAAGACGATAAACAGCATCAATCAGACAGGACACAACCCAGGCGATATACGAACACAGAGAGCTGCAAAATGTTTTCAACCAATTCCGTGATTATAAACGCTATGCTTTGTTTTATATGCTTTGTGTCTTTTGACTTACCGAAATTCCTCAGCTGTCATGCCGGAAATGGTAGTTTGATTGTTCTGATTCCACATAAGTGCCTCCGTTGTTAAATGTCCTTCGGCAGCAATGCGCATTTGCTCCACAGTACATGTGATGCCTTCGTTATCCAAATTGACTTCATACCAATTGTCCTCGTACCAGCCTGAAAAATTATAAGCTCAAAGATATGAGAAAAAGCACATTCAAGAGAACAAAATACAAAAAAAAAAGAAGAAGAAAAAATACGAACAAACGAACAAGTCTAATGACAAATAGAAAGAATTGCGCTTAGATAGATTTTGGTTATTAGATTAGAAATTGAATTGACAATGAAAAATTGCTATGATTTTGTGGTTAAAGATATTATATATATTTGCTAATATATTTCTCATTCTATTTTAATGTAAATCAATGTTAAATCAATTGAAATTATCATTAGTGATATTGAAGAGTGATTATGTTACATTTTTCCATCATTAAGTCAACCACTTATACTTACTTTACATTACTTTGAATAATATGTCTCATATACAAGTATATTAATTACATTACTTTATAATCAAACAGATTGCGTAGGGTCACTATATGTATTGCTTTTTAATATATAGAACAAAGATCCTTATAGTATTGAATGCCATATATCATAGCATACTTTCCAATCCGCTTAATATACCACCCAAACACGGTTTTCTGTATTATCGCAATAACGTTTTTAATAGGAACAAGAAGAAGCTACTATAAGTATATGGTAAATGATACATTAACTCAATTTTATGGGGTGCTTAAAAATTCATTTGCTACTTTGTATATACTGTCGTCAGAAATGAAACCGAGGATATTTCGTGATCAATATTCTAGTCAAACCTATTATTTTTTAAAATTTTTAATTTTTTAAAGGCTTTCTGTGCCTCAATGAGCATAAGCAACTTTTTGAGTTTTTGTCAAGTTATTTGAGATTCAAAACAAGAACAAGTCTTTTTGTGACTATTCGATCACGTATTATTCTATGTGTGACAGACAGTAAAACCAATTATTGAGCTCATCTCTCATGAGTAGTTTTTACACACCATTAATGTTTGCAGATAGAATGCCTTATTTGATTCACCTTCGCTTCCATAATTCAACTTAATCTGTAATCGAAAGACTTGTGAAATCAAATTTGTTTATACAAGTGTTCCACATTTTCAAACATGAAGTCTTATCGCCAAAAGTGAATTTATCGATACACTCTCGTAGTGATGGATTATTACGAATACGAACATATAATATGTTTCAGTATTATACGTTGGGACAACGCACTGTTCATCAAGTGGCCCTACTGAAGTGAAGGGTCCTTTTTCCAGTTCCAGTATTATTTGTGCTCATTAATATTGATTTTTAAAGTGTCTTTAAATTTAATTTCCTTTTATTCACTTTGTTTACAATGTTGAGTTTTCTACAAATCTATGAAGTGATCTATCAAATGAATATTGAATAATTGTAACTTATTCTGTCTATTTTTTATCTTACAATAGTGGAAGCACTACCTCCAAATATAAGGTATCTGCATTCTGAAAGCAATCAGTCTCAATTTTATATGATTTATAAAATATATCTTTTTCCACATCAAAGGCTTCTTTTATTTTTAATTACTACTGTTCATCATGGTTGGGCGCTGAAATCGGTGGCCAGACCTGGCGCTCTCTGTCCACTGTTACTCTGTTATTTAATACTTTCAATTAAGTCGAAAATTATAAATAAAGTCTTTATAAATAGTAAACTTTCGTCTAAATGCGACCTTATTCGTGTTGAGTCGTAAATCAATTATATTACTAATATAGCTAGCATTTATTGCTATCAATTAGCTAAATTGCTCAGTACTGGAAGATGTCCCATAAAAATCATTTGGATGATGTTGTAATTCACATCTAATAGCAAAGTTCAAAAAATGTATTAAAACATAAATTTCATTAAATTTAATTATAAGTGTATTTCATTTACGTTTACTTTATTGCTTAAAACAAAAATCTCTTAATAATTTGGACAAATCCGTAATCAATACAAGCTTTAGAACATAATTACTAGGATTATGGAAAGCTAGTTTTATATAAAATTTGCTTATCGATTTGTTATTATATTATATTTTTATTATATTTATTTTTAGAAATTTTTAATAATTTCATTACTAAGCATAGATATTTGCGTTTTTTTAAGTTAACTCGAATTATTTTGTTTGAAAATGTGAATTGCATGGTAGGCGTATGTATGACCTTTTCATTGCTTTTCCGGTAAGTCGTGAGGATAAGTTTTTATTTAAACAAAACACACAATTTATTTTAAAATTTTACATTTAATGGATTTTCAATGTTTAGTTACTACAGTTGTACAAGCTTTTGAGTTATTACCATTGCCCATTGCCCATTGCCCATTTTCTGCCAACCTATTTCTTGATGGCATACCTAAATGGAAGCATGGAAGCATGCCAGTGACCAAACTAAAAAGTCACTGGCAGCTCCAGCCCTGAGTGGATGAATTTATGAGTGAATGGGTAAAATGTGAGCAGAATTATAATTGCAAAAGTGACTGGGTAACGTTCTTAAGTGGTTACACAAATTCTGCATTAATTTCAGCTTCAACTATGGTGTCGCGGGATTTGTTTCAATTTCTACCAGCGTTAATAATGCGAAACATTATTAAAAATTTTTAATATTATGTATAAATACAGTGAAAACCCAATTAAACGAACATTTCTCTAAGCCATACAAACTTATTAGTCCTAAGTTTTTTCAGTTTAAATACAAAATGTGACCGAATTACTGGTCTCGTCTGTGTCCGCTTAAGAGAGAGACAATATATAGAGTATATAGAGTGAATACTATATGCATCAGTGTTTTTTATTTTTTTCATGGTACAATATTTGCATAAAATATAATTTGCTTTTTTGGCTCGCTGAATTTTCATATTTACTACTAGTACGACCGTACCCGTGGCAGATGAAATTATTTTGGAAGAAAGTTTATTTGCATTTTTAAAAGAACATTACTTCGACAACTTCATGTTGGAATGAATATAGGTTCTTCTCTATGTAACCCAAAAAAAAAACAACAACATTTTACAACATTTGGATTTGCCAAAATGTCATTTTAAACTTGGCATCATTACGAAAATTTAGTATCTCGTTTTACAAAATAAACTAAATTAGGGACATTTCAAGTAATTTATAGAGCATAGCTCTACACAGCGTAGCGTTGCGTTGCGTTCATTTCGTAAGATGATTGATGAGATATCGCAATAAATGACAAAATGGAGGCTCTTTTAAGACTTGTAATGTACACAAATTTTTATGATGCCATCGATAACTGCAAAAACTATGAAATGAAAACAAAATCAAAATATTAAGATGAATTGTTTTAGATAAAAACTTCAATTCGTTTTCGGTTAAACAATCAAAGAAAGACACAAAAAAAAAACAAAAAAAAAACAAAAAAAAAACAAAAACAAAGACAAAAATAAAATAAACTCAAGAAAGACATTTTTATTTGTCAAAGGTAAACAAAAAAATTTTTAAGATCAAGGAATCGTTAAGGAAAAACAATAAATCCTTGCAGAGATATAAGCATGTCAAGGATGTATTTTTGTCAACAGGCAATTAATTTCAAATAAGGCATAAATTGTATACCAGCTTTATTGCACGAATAAACTGTGTCCATACAGGTAAGATACATTGGATAAATTGTTAAGAAAATTAAGAAAATAAAAATACAAATAAAAAAAAAACATTTGCTGATAAACATGGCAATAAATATTGCAGATGCTGAAATTTTAATATACTTAAATCATTTTTTTTATATGTACTTTAATTTTTATTTATTTTCGATTTTTTTAAAAGCTTTACTGAGAGAGAAACAATACAAAATTTTAATAAGTTCGATGAATGATTATTGTTTTATTATTCTCTAAAAAAGAAAGCAGCAGATTGGCAAGTGTAAGGTTAAACCTTTAAACGAGAGCAATAAAATAAAATATTAAATTTTAGTCAAATATATTTGGTATATGGGAACGAAGAGCACAAGTCACCGACAAATAAATTAATGTTAAAAAAATGTTCAACAAATAAAAAAAAATTTAATTTAGAAATAATATATAAGTTTATACATTATTAGGTTGAAGCTATTTGAGCCAGTGCACTTAAGCACGTTTACTCTTTCTTAACTCGAAATATTTTTAAAACCTCTTTTTACGCTTTGACTGGATTATTGTTTATCACTTTATCAGACTAAGCAATAATTGACCTCAGATCTGCATACCTCCCCGAGGAGCCTGTAACCATTACACTTAAAGGACGTATGCGACTAAATTGAGGTAAAGTAAATTGAAATTTCCTAGGTATATTTTGCACTGCACTTATGTAAATATTTATTTATTTATTTATTGCACTTATTAATTACTTTTGATTAAAAGTTTTCAAATTTATTTATTTATTTATTAAACATCTTATAAAATTTTCACAATGGTAACACCTAAATCATCTAATTTTTGTCTAATTTACCCTACTCAAAATTTTCGTAAATACCAACATTCGCTGCCATACCGACATAATTTACTATTTCCCTCAATTTAACAATTTACTCGAACTCGTACACGGCCTAAAATTATGAGAGACAAATTTTGTCTCTATCTACAATGTTGCTCTATTCTCCTCTATATCTGATAAGTGTTTATGAGTTTATTTATTATATTAAATAATAAATATTATAATAAATAATAAATAAACAGACGTTGTTGATATAGTCTATGGTGCAGAAACATTTTAAGCAGACAGAACATTATCGTTTGAAGTTTTCATTTAAAGCTATTTCTTAAAACTAATTGAAGGCCTTCGGGTATTATTTATATATCTAATCACGTACTATGTCAACTATTCTCCTCTTTTTATTAAGCTATACCCCGTGATCTTCAGTCATGCGTACAATCTTGACCATTTTGTAGTCATACAAAATGCTATTGATTGTCCCCTTCATAATGGTGGCAAAACCAAATCTGGCAAATTTTCTTACCTTCATATGAATGTATTAAATCTTCATAGAAGGCAAAAAGAAATTATTCGTTTCCGATAACCATATCTTACACAACTTTAAGTTCGATTTCAAATACAAAACTGCAACTCTGGGTGCTTCGTACCAG